ATCAGCACTTGCCTTATTTACAGTATAAGTGCTAGTAATCGTCTTATTTTCAGTGCTAACACTAGCAATATAAGCTGTAGCGTTTCTATTTTTGGTGCTACTTACGTGGCCTTCACTCTGAAGTCAGCGGATGGCCCTCTCAATGTTCCTAGAGAGGACAACAGATCCGACATGACTGGGGTGGAGGCCATCCCTCCGGTAGAGCGCTGGCTTCCCAAAATTAGGCCCAGTTGTCCACGTATCCCAAGCCGTTGAAGGCGCACCAGCCGCGGAGCCAGGACTGCAGCACGAAAAGCCTGCTGAACCGCTCGGATCCCCTCCTGTAGGTGGGAAGCGGTCCGGAGATGACGATCCTGGCCCGCTATTTTCCTGGCTTTTGCAGTTAATTTATGTGACTTTTTTACCAGCAAAAGCATAAAAACACATCCACATCAATGACAAATAGTTTTGAACAGTCTTAAAACTGTTTAAAATGTATTGTAAGAAACCTAGAATTAGTCTGATAATTTTCAAAAAAGTGAGGGAAAAGCCCATGCACTCCTACTTTTTTATGTTTTGAGCTTAGATAAGGGTTTAGATTGAAGCAGCTGACTGAACATGAGGATGAGCAGCAGATAAATAATATCATGTCTAGATGTCTGAACTTTGTTATTTTATCAAGTAAATGTTTACATTATACACTAAGTTACAATAAAAAAAGTGGCAGGACACAGTTAAAAAGGATTTTAAAATGTTTTACCACTGCAAGGAAATTTGACACCGAATGAATTAATAGGTTAATAAAAGAAAAGAAAAAAATAGTAATATAAAGTCAAACACCCTCTGTGAAATTACATATTTTGTTGATTTTAAGTGAGAATAAGATAACGCATCCTCTACAGAGAATAAGGCATTTCTACAAAGCTTAGAGCAAATTTCTATTTATTTGATGAGTTTAACATACTAATATACAAATATATACACTGATAGTGTGTGTGTGTGTGTGTGTGTATATACATATATATATATATATATATATATATATATATATTATATATATAATAAAAGCTATGAATTATGTTTAGTAGCTGTGCCACTATGATACATTACATGCACAAATTACAAAATGTCTACGACAAGTCAAGCAAGTCTACAACAAAGGGCATTATTCCATGACTTTTTTGCTTGGGTTTGTGGACCAGTTTTAATTTGAATCAATATTCGGATAGGAAAAGTCCAAACATTCTCAATTACCTTCTGTAACTTCACATAAAAGAGCAACAAATCAGCTCAAAAATCTGAATTTAACTGCACCTGTACAAAACTGACTCTGTATACCGTGTGATAAAGACTAATTTCTAAATAAAATTTGAATATTTGCTCCATCTGGTGCTATCACATGTTAAATGTTGAATTTAAGTTACAGAATGACTGGACTGAGCCACGATATTAACAGAGTATAAACACTAAGAGTTTATAATAAATACTATATACTTTACTTGTATGCACAAATTTGAATACCCCCAGTCAAATTACATTTTGTTGATTTTCTAAATGAAAATATGTTCTACAGGGAAGAGAATTAAAAATGCCACTTTATTGCAAATTTGGTTTTTGCGTGCTATTGTCACAGAGGGACTCGTGACAAGGGCTTGGAGTCAAGTGCAGGTTTAATATAGTAAACTCATTCTTGTAGCCAGGGTCAAGTCCGGGTAATCATATACTATAATCAAATACTAGCATTTTAGATAATAAATATTCAGTCTAATGTAAATACTTAATGTTAGGTGCTAGTGGGTGGAGTGCATTGACAGCATCATGTTATGAGAGATATAACAGTAGCAGTAAACAAGCTGAATCACTTTGTCATTATCATAAGAGGAGGCCCATAAGATCCTAGTTACTCTACTGAGTCAAGCAGTCATAGTACATCTGTAATTTTTTTCTGTTGTGTTGTTTTGAGGACATTCAAGTAAAACTGTATATTTTAGTATGTTATAGAATATAATCAGTATATAACCCACCTAAAAATTGTAATGTTTTCTATGATTAGCTGGATCATTTCTTCCTAATGTGGACCCCTTTTATAAACTACTTCAATTGCTTACAGAGGCTGCTATTGGGATTGCTTGTGTTACTTACGTAATATCAGGCAATTCTTGTTTCTTTTTTTTTTTCCACTATGATCTATTTTAAGACAAGACCTTGTTGCTGGGTGGGTAGGTGGATCGATTGGAAATTCTGGGAATGACTGGTGGAAGCATTATGGGAAAGGAGAATGGGTAATAGAAATGTATGTAAATTGGATACGTACAAAATGTAATATGAGACAACAAGACAAAGAAACACAAAGCAGTTTTAAAACGAACATTTAATTTACTGCTGGATTTTCTATTAGAGAGATTAATTATGGCAAGTTGTCCAGGCCCTGAAGCAGACAAGCATCACCACACCACACTGAAGGTAACCGGACCATTGTCATTCCACTTTCTACTCATCAGACCACAGAAAATTGTTCCAAAAGGCTTTAGGGTCTTCAAGGTGTTTTTGGCAAATGTGAGACGAGCCTTTATGAGCCTCTTGGTTAGCAGTGGTTTTTGCCTAACAACTCTTCAGTGGGTACCACTTTTGCCCAGTCTCTTTCTAATGGTGGAATCATGACCACTGATCTTATCTGAGGCGAGCGAGGCCTGCAGTTCCTTAAATGTTCGTCTGGGTTCTTTTGTGACTCCCTGGATGAGTCGCTGCTGGAGGATTTTTTTTCCATTTGGAGATAAAGGCTCTCACTGTGGTTTACTGGAGGCCCAGAAGGTTAGAAATGACTTCCAGTTCCTTTTGATTGTGGCATAGTGTACTGGTTGTTGAGACGGTTTAGTCTAATGCACATTGATGGAGAGGTTCTATTTAAGTAATGTTTAGATTCAACAGGTCTGACTGTAATCAAGTCTGGGTGTGTCCAGTTTACTAATCCCAAATATCAACAAAATTCAGTTAGATGGTTGACTGAGTAACTAAGGGGGCATTTGCTTTTTCACACCAGGCCAGTTTGTAATTCAGTAAATGCAATGATCATTATATGTTTTGTGTTTAGTCAGGCTGTCTTTGTCTTGTAAGACATTTGTTTCAAGATCTGAAACAGTTAATTGTGATACACAAAAACAAAAAAATCATTAGAGGGTAAAACAAAAACTACAATCTGTTATCCAACATTTCCTTTCATGCTTTATTAAAAGGCTTTCACAAATGACTCGTATGGCTGTGCTGATGTCTCTCAGGTCTCTGTAGTGCAGCCTCAGCTCTCTCTCGGCAATATTACTTTGTGAATGAGAGTATGACTTGGTTGGAGGCTCAGAGGTACTGCAGAGAGAACTACACTGACCTGGCTACTGTAGACAACATGGAGGAGATGAAGCAGCTGATGGTGACAGTGGATCCTAAGTTTCTAGGTTCTTTGTGGATTGGACTGAACAAGGCCCCCCCAAGAAGCTGGGGCTGGTCTTCAGGAGAGATCCCACAATACATGAATTGGAAAAGTCCAGAACCGGACAATGGAGACAGAGATGGACTCTATGCAGCGAAATATGAGTTTAGTGGATGGATTGTTGCTGATTGCTCATATGCTTGGTATTTCGTTTGCTACAGCGGTTAAATAGTTAAAATATTTAAACATCAATAATTACAATATGATGCTAACAAAAATGCCAATACTAAGCTAATGAATTTCATTTTACAACATGTTCTCATTATATATATTATGCTTTTAAAATTATTTTCAATGCCATTTTGAAAAATCTTTAATGCAGCTTTTTGAGTTAGCTACTGCAGGTATCTTCACTTTAAGTTCCAATTTAGCATTGAGAATTTAAATTAAAATCTTATGTTGCTCATACACTCAAGCTTAAAGGTCCACTAGAACCTCCACTTAAAATGTGCTGCCTTTGAGGCATCATTGATCAAACAGATTCATGAGAAGAGCAGGTTTATCTTTAGTGATGTTTGTAAACATGTGCATAAACACTATTTACAAATGCATTTAAATACATCTAATAAAATATTTACTTACACAAGATACAGTATTCTAGTACAACAGTGATGCTAGAGGTCTGTACAGCTACAGCCTGCAAAAAAGTGATGTAGTAACTGATAACGGCCTATCAGGTACAGCTATACAGTAGAGTAGATTATAACCAGAGATTACAGAATAGAGTATTATGTAACTACAACAGTTTGTGACGATGCTTCGCCGAACCCCGTTAGGAGACACAAAGTCACCAGGTAGATTGTGACTGAATGGGTAGTGGAATGTAGTTGCAGGCTGAGGATGTGACGACTCTGGATGATTCTTTGCAATGAGTGAGATTTATTTACACGGTGAAACACACAAAAGAAAAACTGTACAAACACAAAGTAAATAGAGGTTAAAACGTTGACCCGACTCGATCAGTACAGCTAAGTATAAATAGTCTCAGGCCGCAAGGCCACAGGACTATACTCTTTTTAGCTCAGCTCAGCTCTTACTCCCTTTTCCCTCAGTCTCCTCGCAATCTGAGGTGAGTATCCTCAAGCTAGCCCCCTTCTAAACCCTTCTCCTGCCTCTTATAGGGTTAGCCCCACCCCTGCATCACCTGAGCTGAACCATTCCACTCTGCAAGGGTGTTGCTGTCCTATAAGAGTGGATTGAGAACAATATAATCATAATTACATCTCACAAGGCCTTAATGCGTAAAATTACCGGTGGGACATTTCATACCGTGTGCACATTTACTAGCCTTTCTCACTCTGTCTTCTGTGCCCTAGGTAGAGACATCACCCCTCTCATGAGCTAGCCGTGGGCCCTCCGGCACGCTCATGAGTGAGCTCCATCTGCTCTGCCTCCCTTTTGCTGCTGGTGTTAGGAAACAGACAACAGGTGAGTATTACAGGTAGGTGGTCAGGTAAGTATTACACACACAGTCCTCTGGTGATGGGCAACACGTTTGCCTCATCACACAACTATAATAAACTGTGTAACACCATCCATGTCTTTAAGATGATTTGGTCAGTCTTTCTCTGATGTGGACGGTGATGACTGCAGACAGCATGAGGGTCAGAATGATGGAATACAGCACAATCTTCAGCAAACACACAGATTCACCAGCAGAGGGAGACACTGAAACTGAAACACACACAGCAAAACTACTGTTGGATTAAATATGATGACCAAATAGAAAAGAACTAATTTGTTTCAAGGAAATCAGCCTGTCATTGTACAGAAGAATTTATAGTATTTAATGGTAACCAGTGACTACTGTTAGAGGCCTATCAGAGCAACAAACAAGACATAGATCTATGAAAACCCATGACTGCTGTTAGCAGTGTATCAAAGTGAAAATGAGAATATGTTGGCATGAATATGTGCAGAACTCAGTATAAAGTGAGGTGAGTGAAGTAATGTATGTGATTAAACAGCTCCAGTTTGAGTTTGTAGAGGTAATAGTATCATCAAGAGGATGAGTGAGGCATGTAGGTGAGGCTTTCTTCACAGCAGGAGAACTTTTTTGATGATTTTCCTTTTCTGAGTGAAAATAAGTTAACAGCTCCTCTACAGGCAACATATTAAATAAAGCATTTTTTTCTGCCAACTTTGGTGCACAGTTTCTATTTATTTATTTATTAATTGTTTGTTTGTTTGTTTAACAGCAAAAGAACAGTGTTGACAGAGTTGAAAAAAATGATATATAATCTTTAAATATATTATATATATATATATATATATATATATATATATATATAATCAGGAGGAAGATGTTGAGTTTCTCCACAACACAGAAGAGCAGATAGAAATTATACGTTGATTTGGCTTCATTCTGAACTGAAACTGTGTTTTTCCTGCATTTATTCCACCTGCAGATCTACTGTGTGATGCAATCTGCCTCCTCTGATGACAAAGAAGAGCAGATAAATCTGCCTTTATGTTGGCTTCACTTGATAATTTGACCCATGTCATAAATCTGACATGTTGTATGTTCTGCAGTCTCATGAATGAATCCATGAATACAGATTTATCCTCTAGATAGGTCTAATTAGCATTTAACTGAATCTATGTAGCATATTAACAGACTCTATTAGACTCTTAGCTGATTTCTACTTGCACATACAGTCAAACAAATATCTAATTACCCGAAATCAGATGTAAAGTAAAGCAAACTCTACACTTTGTCTTAAGAGGGTACAATATGAGCAAAAAACACTTGTTTTCTAGCTGCTAGTATTCATGTTAATAATGCTATCACTGCAACTCCCAGTTCGCATGGTGCTAATTGTAAAAATAGCAATCAACACTTTTGTTCTGGTGGATTGAGTGGTCATGAACTGGTGCCAGGTGACTTTATCCTCACCTGGAAGAGTTAAATGGAGCTAAATAACACTGATTATACTGGAAGGTGAGAATCTGACAGACAGCTTTAATAAATACACAGTAAATACTCACCACTGTGTTTCAGCACCTGTTATTAGAATTTTCTCTTTAAGACCCAGGACTGTTTTAATGAATGCATTTTCTGCTTTCTTTCATTATTTATATGTTTGGCCTACACTGTGTCGCTTTATTTATTTGAGTGTATAACAGCACCTGCTGTTTGTCCCGTGCAATGCTTGAGTTTCAACAGTGTGTGTCAGACACAGGGAGTCTGTGAGAGACTCAGTAAGAGAGAGTGACTTTTGTTTGTCACACTCGAATGAATAATAATGTTACTAACTGGTTAAGTACATTTTGATGCAAAGTTTGTAATGCAAAGTTTTAGAAGCAGTTTTTGCCTGTGTGTATCTGTGTACACACCCTCACCTTCATCAGAACAGAGTTGTTTAAGTTTTCTCGTCTCCAAAACATTCTTCTTCCAGCTGACTGGGTTGCTATGGTTACAGATGATGCTGCTGGCATTGGCGGACAGGGAAAGTGTGACACCTCCAGGTGATGTCACTTCCTTCTCCTCACACATTTCTTTATAACAGCTGGAGCTGATAGAGAGGTCATGACCTCTACAGGTGAGAGTGATGTTACAGGTGTCTCTGCTTAGCTGGAGAGTCAGGACTGGAGCCTCCACTGGATCTGAGGTAGAAGATGTACAGACACATCACTGTAATAATGCTGACAGACAGTCAATGATAGATCACTCATTACAGATCACATAGATTATTAAAAGCTGGTGATCTAGCAGACTCATTGTGTATTTTCAAACTGGTCAGCATCTTTTAAAGTAGCTGAGACCGATCTGGACAGTGGTGACGGTGTAATGACAGACATCAAATGTCCTTTTCAGTTGTTAAATTAGAACTGGTGGTTTGGGGGTCAAAACTAAACTATGTTTAGCATGTTATAGTTAAAATCAAAAGGACATGAAAAATGTACTTATATAGCTCCTTTACACCAAGCTTTACACAAAATAGTTACAATTACACTGGATATATTTCATGAAAGTTTTAAAATAAGGCTTTGTCATTAAATGTTCTGATGTTGGATGGTAACATGCAGGGTGTTATAAGGCAAAATAATCGTCAAAGATAACTTTTCAGATTTTTAAATATTTTACTGTCATCACCATTACATATTCAGTATTTGTTTTGAGTAGTGTATGAAAAGTTAAACTTCAAACACCATCCTTTAAAAAACCTGCTGAATGTTGTGAGTTATTATTAACACATGGCACATTCTGAACCCTAAATAAGTTTAAATCATAACTAAGTTGTGTCACAAAAGCCCTTTTGTCCACTGGCATTGCAAGTTCACGTTTTACAGCAGAAACTGTCAAACCCCAGCGCTGCTCTGGAGCAGAACCCAATAAATCCGTTCAGCAATCAGCACACAGTATTTGGTTCAGGTGATGTAACACTGCTGTGAGCTGTCATAGGCAGAATCTCTAATAGCTCCCTTCTCCCTACAAAGTGCAGCACATAGTTCTTAAAATAATGGCTACTGCATTTAAATGTTTAATGTTGCCTATTAATGAGCTGTTTTTGTTGCAATTTTCAGCACTTTACCTACTTGGTTTATGTTGTGCTAAAAAACGTATATCCACTAAATGGCTTTGTTTAACTCCTAAAACATGAAATAACTATTGGAGTTATCTGCTTTTGCTAGGAAATAAATGATAAAAATATACTTTAACAAAAAGATCAATAAAGTTGTGTTGTACACTAAGGAGCATTTGCAGCAAGCAGGTCTGTTTACTGAAATTTCTTTCAGCATTCAAATCTGCCTTGGTATTTGGACATGACTTTATTAAGCTTATCTACAACCCCATTTCCAAAAAGGTTTGGATGCTGTGCAAAATGTAAATAAAAACAATGTAATTAAACACAAATCATTTGAAACCTTTATTTAATTGAAAATGGAACTGAGACAACATATCAAATGTTGAAACTGAGGAATTTTAATGTTATTGTTTTTTGAGAAATATATGCCCATTTTGAATTTGATTGTCAGCAACATGTTTTAAAAATGTTGGGAAGGGGTTGTGTAATGCTAAAAATACACCTGGTGGTTAATTGGCAACAGGTCAGTAACATGACTGGGTATAAAAAGAGCACTTCAGAGAGGCTGAGTCTTTCAGATGGGGAGGGGTTCACTATTCTCTGAAAGACTGCGCAGGTAAATAGTTTACAATCCAAGAATAATGTTTCTGAACTGAAAATAGCAAAGAACTTGAGGATTTCATCATCTACATTACATAATGTCATTAAAAGATTCTGAGAATCCAGAGAAATCTCTGTATTCAAGGGACAAGGATTAAAACCACTATTTGCTGGCTGTGATCTTCAGGTCCTCAGGTGGCACTGCATTAAAAACAGATATGATTCTGTAGTGGCAATCACTGCATGGGCTCAGAAACACTTTCAAAAAACATTGTCTGTGAACACAGTTCATAGCTGCATCCACAAATACAAGGTAAAACTCTACCATACAAGGAAGACACCATCTATAAACAGGATCCAGAAACACTGCTGCCTTCTCTGGGCCTGAGCTCATTTAAGATGGACTGAGGGGAAGTGGAAAAGTCCTGTGGTCGATGAATCAAAATTTTGAAATTCTTTTTGGAAATCATGGACACTGTGTCCCCCGGGCTAAAGACCACTCAGCTTGTTATTAGTGCACAATTCGAAAGCCAGCATCTATGATGGTATAAACAATGTCTTGATTTTTCCACTGACAAAAACAACACCAAAAACAAGAATCAACCCATTTTCCCATTTAACAAACTAAATCAAATCAAATCATGTTTGTCATATCACATTTACACAGGTGAGTCAAAATCTTAAGCTCGTAGCCCCCTTGTACAATTTAAATACAAAAAATATATAAGAAAAAAGAAATATGTACACTGATTCTAAATATATACACATACGCACGCACACACACACACACACACACACACACACACACATTATTAACACTGAAATGAAAACCGAATGACCAAAGCTATGTACACAGACCATATGTGCTGGATTTTACACACCTGTTAGCAGTGAGTGTGGGGTGAAACATCTGCACTGAGTAATTAGGAGGGGTTTCTACACATTTTTGGCTATTTAGTGTATAAATGACAGAAGAAGTTTTCTAGAAGTTTAGTGTTTGCTGAGCAGATTTGAGATCCAGTAGCTGCATAAGGAGGAAACCAGGCTGTCATGTAACGGTAGTCACTAGCACAAACAAGAAACACAAATCAGCAGCACTAAAGAGAAAAAAGAGCTCACTTTAACTGAACTTTGATTTCACTGACTCACTTTTCTCTTTGAGGTTCAAACACCAATGACCAAAGGGAGAGTGACCATCAAAACAAGGGGGAAATATAACAGATAAAAAATGACTGTGAATAAAGTGAAATATGTGAGAGGGAGGACTTTACAGGACAGTGCACCTTGTGTTTTTAGCCTTCAGAGAAACTCAATATTTCACATTATTATATAAAGAATAGAGAAAATTACAGCATCTTAATAACAGCAGTGTTGTGTCAGGACTGCATGTTTCCTCTCACTGACTGATTTTCTATAAGACTTACCCAACACAGAGAGTCTGTACTCAGCCACAACTCTGTCCTCATCACCAGACACTTTTGCCTCATACAGTCCACTATCAGTCTTCTGTAAGTTCTTCAGTGTCAGACTGTAGGTTTCCTCATTGAACTTCACTCTGCCTTCATAAGCGGAGTAATGTTTAGTCTTTTTAGTTTCAGTATAATAATTTAGAACACTATTATTCCTGTTAAAAACCCATAATAAGTCATCAAACTCCGGTACATGCTGTATGTCCAGTTGAACAGAATTGCCAATCAATCCAAGCACTTCACTGGACTCTGTAGTGAGGGGAAAAATAAGAAAATCTTTTGGTACATTGTGACTGCTTTATCATACTGTGTGGTATGTCAGTGACTAATTTACAAAACTTTATACTGTATGTATACATACAGTGAGGACAAACAAGTATTCAAATACTTTTGTTTTTGTTATTTAATATAGAGTCATGTGCAAAGTTTGGGTGCCCCTGAACTATGTGTTTTGTTGATTTTCTAAGTATAAGTTAACACATCCTCAGCAGAGAACACACTTCTGCATATTTTAATGCACAATTACTGTTTATTTGCTGATTTTAAGTGTGACGATGCAACAGAATTCAGACGCTTGCGGATAAAAAATGTACACCAGGCTTTATTCGAGTGCGACAAAGAAGAAGTCAAAAAACATGCGTGGGTCGTAACCAGAAAGCAGTACAAGATCACCGAAGTGATCATAACCAAAGCAAACAAAACCAAGGGAGTGATCCGATATCGTAGTCAAAAAACCAGGCCAAAAAGTCAAAACACGTATCCAAAAACAGTCAGCAAAAGTACAAGAAGGGACAGGCAAAAATCAAGGTCAGTGAAACAAAACGTAGGTCATAACAGGTAGTGGCAAACAGATAATAGAAACGCTCAGCAAGTTCAAGAAGAAACAATACCTCGCAACGACTAAGACTAAAGCCCGCGCTTATAAACTATACTAAGTGGGTCATATGACAATAAACACTGGTATATGTATTTAGTACTCCGGTGAATGTGAGCGCTGATAGGTGCGTGCACAACCATCCAAAGTCATATGATCTCCCAAGGGGTTGTGGGCAATGGAGTCCCTTCTGGACTCTGCGTCAGAGGGAAGTTGCTCAGTCACATGATCTACTAGTGTATTGTGGGAAATGTAGTCTGAGTCCTCCTGAGGCGTGACATTAAGATATTATCATATTCATTATATTTATGCTAGTTTAAAAGCCTGAACTAGTAAACAGTAAATGTGTTTATTTGGAGCTATTTGTGCAGATATAAACTCAGCAGGCTGAGTGAGAAACAGAGCAGGACTAAATTCAGTAAACAAAGCCAACAAATAACACATACATGACATTAAATAGTACGTAGCCTAGTTTGACATATTTTGTTGATTTTTGTTTTACAAGACATGTAACAGGGCGAAAAGAAATGTCTTAGAGTTGAATTAAAGTTTTTTTTTTTACTTTACTTATTCACCAGTGACATTAACAAGCACGACTCAGAATGTTTTGAACATTTAAAAATTATATTGTTTTAGCACAAATTCGATTCATCACCAGAAGTGGATACTTGAAAAAATCACTTACACTCTTCATATTACACTCTTTAGACTGACTCAAAAATGATTCATTATACATTTTAACCTCTATAGTGATGAAGTTCAGAGAATTGTTTACCTGTGACTGAGATCAGAGTGGAGAGAACAATGTTTAGCTGTAGCATCAACGCCATTACAGAGCCTCTGAGATACTTCCTCAATATCAGTGAAGGAGGAAGTTCTGAAAGTCCTCGTCACTGCCTCTGAGAGGTTTACTAATGTGCTGATATTTATGCAGACCTTATAAGGAGCATGTGACAGAATATTCTACACTAAAAAAAATATTATTATGGTTTAATTTGTTTTTAACACCTGAATACACTGAGGAGGCTGTCAATTTCATTCATTCCTCATTCTTTCATTTATTTTTCATGCTCAACACTGAGCACATTAGGACTAGTAATAGCAGTTTTCACAATTGACCTGTAAAGTATCATTGTGTTTTTTTTTGTGTCATCGTAAAATTGTCAGTTCCTGTTGGTTTTCCTCTGATGTTAGTCTAGTTTCTCTTCATTAGCTTCTCTGTTTCTTCTTCTACTTTAAAAAAGACTGTGCAGTATTCTGTGTATATATATATATATATATATATATATATATATATATATATATATATATATATATATATATATATGTGTGTGTGTGTTCCAGCACTACAGCAGTAGTTACTGCCAGCACATAATATTATTCCCAGCATAATATTGGGAATTTCAATATTATATTGCTTATACATTTAACCCTACTTAAAAGCTCACTTTAACACTCACTTATAAAGCACTGTCTTTGGGGCATCACTGATTAGACAGCCTTCATTAGAAGAGCATTTGTAAACATATGCATAAACAGTATTTACATATGCATTTAAATATATCTAATAAAATATTTACTTACACAAGATACAGTATTCTAGTACATCCAGTGAGCCGACTTCTGAGAAGCTACAACAGTGAAGTCTGTGTGCTACAGCTTGAAAAAAAAAGAGTAAGTGATGAGAGCCTGTTAAGTGCAGCTATACAGTAGAGTAATTATAATCAGAGATTACATAATTGAGTATTATGTAACTATAACAGCTATAATAAACTGTGTAACACCATCCATGTCTTTAAGATGATTTGGTCAGTCTTTCTCTGATGTGGACGGTGATGACTGCAGACAGCATGAGGGTCAGAATGATGGAATACAACACAGTCTTCAGCAAACACACAGATACACCAGCAGAGGGAGACACTGAACCTGAAACACACACAACAAAACCCATTGTTGTGTTAATTATAAATAACAAATAGAAAAGAACTAGCAAGCTAAACTTGTTAAAACAACTTGTAAAAACAGTCTATCCTCTATCCTGTTCACTGTTCACATTGCAGTCATTTTTAAAATAAAGGCCTCCATCTTTCACATAGTCATAGGTAGAAGTTTGAACACCAACATGTGTTGTTGATTTTCCAAGTGAAAATAATTGACACATCCTCTACAAACTTAAATATAATATTCAGCAAATTTTAGCACACACTCTACTGTATGTTAATTCTATCTCTTTTAATATCTATTTATATATTTTGAAAAAAAAAAAATACAATTTGTATGCATTCATCCCTCAATTTGACTTACCAACCCATCATGCTAACTTGTTTTGTTTATAAATAATGTACTGTTGCTTTAAATGACATCACAAAGAGGACATAATTTCATTTGAGAGCGGCCAGAAACAAAAGCAGACATGTTTTGACACTCTACATCATTTATTTGTTGCTTTTTCTCAAGCCAACCATTCCATCACACAAACTAGATAAGGAAAACTGTTTTATTCATTGTTTTACACTATTAATGCAAAGAAAATGATATTTCAATTGAATGAATGTATGTTAGGTTAGGAACTTGACCACATAGAGAACTGCAGCTATTTAAGGATGAAATTTACCACCCCATCACATGACACCACGTCACATGTTGTATTGTGACAGGGTGGTAAGGGAGGTCCTGCCTTCCGTTTGAATGTGAAAATTGATTAAATTGGAGCCTAAACTCACTCATTCACTGTACCTTTTACTCACTTACTCACTCCCTATAGGTGTTTGTATGTAGCTTTGTTCTATCCGCAAAAAAATTGACCAACATGGGGAAGAGGCTCCCGCCATTTACTTATGAACACTGAGATTAATAACAGATCATCATATTGATTTACCAGTCTACTCAGGCTCTAGCAGAGCTCAGTAACATTGCGATTAGTAACTGATCATCAGATCGATTTATTAGTCTAATCATGATTTAGTAGAGTTCAATAACACTGAGATTGATAACTGATCATCACATTGATTTATCAGTCTACTCAGGCTTTAGTAATAACTTTAGTGTTTGTAAAGAAGACGTTAATCGAGGTCTTCTTTGGGACTCATCTAACAGGCGTGTTTGCTGCATGTTGTACACTGATTCTAAAACAGTCCCTAACAAGTGTTTCTTTTAAATATCTTATGTTTTTTTTTTTTTCCTATTTAGTGGATAAGTATTCTAAAAGTATTTTTCTAAGAATGTATAATGTAACTGTATTCTGAAAGCTGCCTTTACAACTTGTAAACTTGGACTGAATACAGATATAGTACTGTATAGCATATTCCTAATATTGTGTTCTGTTACATCCTAACCCTGTTCCGCAATAATGACGAGAAAAAAGTAATATTGTAATTTCACATTGACAAAAAATTAAACATAAAATTTGGCCTGTGCAAAAGTTGTGGCACTTTTTTATTTTATGTTTTATTTTTTCCGGTATGTTAAATAAATAAATGTGTATGTCTATATTAATTAGCCAGAGGACATTATTTGTGTAAATAATAAGTGAATATTAATTAACAAAAAAGTGTCTGAATATATGTTTCCTCTCACTGTAGCTTTATTTAATTGATAGTAATGAAAAGCATTTCGAGTGTTTAGGGGGAGTAATCGTAGAGCTAATTACATCAAAGATAAGGAAGATAAGAGGTAAGAGAAGGTAAGAGAGAAGCCAGCAGTCATTCGAACAGTTCAGGATGACCTGAAAGCTGCAGGAACAACAGTTACACAGAGAACATAAGAAATTAACTGCACTGCACTGAAATCAACTCCCCACATTCCTCTCCATGCAAAACTCCTCAGCTAAAAACAAAGCACAGAGATCTAAAGTTTTCACAAAAGCATTTAGCCAAATCAGCTAACTTTGAAACAATGTACTCTGGTCAGACGAAACTCTCTGGCAATAATTCAGGTGTCATGTTTGGAGAAAGAAGTATTGCAGATATGATCCCAACAATAAAATACTCACAATAAAATATGGAGGTGGGAGCATCATGATCTTGCCACTCTGCAAATGGTACTGAAGCTTCACATGTCACTGACAGAAACATAAATGGAGTGATATACAGGGAAAAACGAGAGAAGACTTAAATCCCATCAGCCAAGAAACTAAATATGGGAAGAAAATAGATAAATTAAGAAATCCACTCCAAACATATAGCCAGAATAGCTTAAGACTGGTTTCTAAAAAGGTGAAGGTGCTTGCATAGTGTAGCTAATCTCCAGATATGAATCCTGCTGAAAGTTTATAGAGGTTTTTGAAATTGTGAGTTTTGAAGACAGTTTGCCAAGTGCCAAGAAATGCTGCATAAAGCTAATTACTTCTTACTGTAAACATGTAGAATCTGTCATATTTTGCAACAAAGTACAAATTTTGTAGAATCAATGTTTTTTCAACAAGTTAAACATAATTCAAGTTAAAAATATCTTTTATGTTTATGAATATATATTATTTTTGTTCATATTTATAAGCACAAAGTAAGAAGACATTATGTTTGTTGATTTTAAGTAAATGCCAATTATTCATATGAAACATTACTGGGGGAAAATATACTGTATTGCTACTCATGCAGTTTTGCATCTATGACTCATAGTAGCTGGTTGCATAGTGAAGCAATCCAGGCCCTGCTTGATAGACAACTGGCCAACCAACAAGCCCTGCTGGGTCTGCTCCTAGTGGCTGAAACGTGAGCAGATGCTCTGGAGCCTTTTAGCGGAGCGGCACTCTTCGGCATGTGTGGGGTCAGGAGTCTCTATTTTGTCTCAGCCTACCAAGAGAATGGTCATAAACAGGCTGCCAAAAAACAACACAGGTGAAAACCAACCTCTACTCAGGCCAAGGGTTCACCGTGACTGGCTCGCTGTCCCGCAGGTGACACTCGACCACGCCTCCACAGCAGGCTTATGAACCTGAAATCAAAATGGACCTCATTGTTTTCACCTTGGTAGTTTATGTTCTACGCCATATTAAGTATGATTCATCATATCAATTAAAATTCAAAATCCCCATATATAAGACACTTGTCTGTCTCTGAGTTTTGATTATGTCAATGATTAACCAATAACTTCATGTTTTACTTCCACTGTCCCACCAACCCTCCCTAAGATAAGATGAAAAAATCACCAGGGTAACCTTGAACATCTTTGTCTAAAAAGATACAAAACAATATAAGACAGATTATTGATCTGTTAACTTACAGGTAGAGGTTCAAATAACTTAATTGTCACAAAAAAAAAAAACATAAATCTTTCTTTTTTTCTTACAGTGCTGGTTTGTTTGTGATCAAAGCCTGAGAAGGAAGTTTCTTATAGAAATCAACACTGAAACTCACCAACGATAAAAGACTTCATTTTACTTTCAAAGATTCTCAAATTAGCTGTGAAGCTGTGAAGGACAGTCTCAAAGACTATTCAAATCAGATTCCCGATCAAATAAGATAAGAAATACAAATGAGCCTGTAGGTTCACTGAAGCACTGCTGAACAGACAAAGCTCTACGAGACAGAAGAGCCACCAGGATTTGAAACATGGACAAGAGTTTATTTCTAGCACTGCTGATCTCAGGTATGTGTGAGCTATAGATTTCTGAACAAACACAGCACTGTGAAAAACGTCTGAGACCGCTTGACAAGATTATATTTGAAGTGCCTGCTTGGAAAAAACAACACTAGGATAAATACAAATAAAAATCAATTCAACAATAAATACTGTAAGCAATAAATAGATGTACAGACGTCTCCTGCAGGCAGACTAGTATTCCATCCAAAATTAGGTTTATTATTACTTCATTAAGTTAAACTTCAATATGTGTTGGTCATTGAAATTCAACAAATCTCTGCAATGGCTGTGCAGGAAAAAATCTCAAGTTAGAACAGGAAATCCATGTGTTTTTTTAACAGATTTTTTTAAATAATAATTCTAATGTTACATCAGTGGTGGAAACTCTGACAGATGGGAGAGTCAAGTTTTGAACTTTAAAACATTTCAAAAACTTTATTGAACGTCTTACACTGTAAAAACTTTGCTAAAAATATATGGTATACACTTTACAATGAATACTGTTGTTATTTTACAGGATTATACCGTGGTACATTGGTTTATTGTAACATACAAGACAATGTAATTTATATTAATGTACTGGCACAAAAGTACTGCATATTGACAGAACATTCACAGGTCATTACTGTAAATATTTTACTGAAATAAAACACTCTTCAGAAAAGATGGTTCTTCAAGGGTTCTTTAGTAAAGAAAATGGTCCTATATGGAACCACGAACACAAAAAACCCTTTGCATGATTAAAGGATTCATTGCATGGTAAATTGGTTCTTCAAATGAATGGAGAATGTGCTGTAGATGGTTCTATATAGAATCTTTTGAAAAGGGTTCTATATAGCACCAAAAAGCGTTCTTCTATTGTTTCGATGTCAAGCTTTTAACAGTAAAATATCCCTTTTTGGTACTATATAGAACAATCTTCACAGTGTATCTTCACAGTGTAATGATCCCTTAATCATGCAAAGGGTTCTTTGAGTGTTCATGGTTCTTATATAATACTATTTTCTATAGTATAGATTTTAACACATTTAGTGAATGTGTTCAGAGACAACACATGCTGTGTTCACAGTAAATGTGTTTTCCGTAATCCACTAACTCTGTTGGGGTGATTAATACTCAGATGTGTTGTTCCTGCACAATATGTGTTGAGGTAATGAGTTTAACAAAGCAAATTCTTGTGTGAAGTAAAAATTGAGGAAAACATCATTTATTTAATATTCACAGTAATGTTACACAGCAAAGGTAATCCGTTTAAATGTAGTTTAAAAAGCATACATTACTGCCAAATATTTTGAAACTATTTTCCTTGCTTTTGCAATTTATTGACATTTTACCAGCAAAAACATAAAAATACACTCACATCAATGACAGAGTTCAAATGCTGCTTAAAATACTTGGAATTAGATTTAAGCAGGTGACTGAACATGAGCTTGAGCAGCAAATTAATAATATGTCTAGTTGTCTGAACTTACTTTGTCATTCTTAATTTTTTACAATATACAGTAAATATTAATATGCAGTCGCATTCAAAATTTTGAAGACCCTTTGTCAAATTACATGTTTTATTGATTCTAAGTGAGAATAAGTTAATACATCCTCTACAGAGAATACTCTGTATATACTTACATATGGCATTTTTCTGCAAATTTTAGTGCAAAATTGCTATTTATTTGATGAGTTTAACATAAAAAATAAAAAATAAAAATAGTATCTGCATCTCTATTATTCACGAGTCACTATGATTTATTACATGTACAAATTACAAAATATCTACAAGTCAAAAATGCCTATAACAAAGGGCATTGTTTTATGACTTTTTGCTTGGGTTTGTGGACCAGTTTTAATTTGAATTAAGATTCAGATAGAAAAAGACTTCACAAACAAGTCCAAACATTTTCAGTTACCTTCCATAACTTCACATAAAAGAGCAAAAATTCAGCTATTGAAAACCAGTACAACTAGTACAAGACAACCTAGTGTGTACAAAGTCAAACCATGCAAATGGACAATGCACCAGCCAATTAAATAAATGAAAACCTAAATGTAAGTGTACAAATTTGACTCAGTATACAGTTTGATAAAGACTTCAAGTAAAAGCCTCTTTTTAATTTGCACAACCACACAAAAAAAAAGAGTTGCACTCTTATATATATATATATGTATATGTATGTATGTATGTTAGGTTATGAATTTTCAACCGTTACCTCATCAGATGCTATCACATGTTAAATGTCAAATTTAAGCTTGTACAGTACAGTATGACTGAACTGAGCTGCAGTATTAACAAAGCTAAACACTAAGAGTTATATTCTTTAGATAAAATTGTATGCATGTTTGCAAGTTTGAATACCTCCAGTCAAATTACGTTTTGTTGATTTTCTAAGTGAAAATATGTCCCACAGGGAACAAAATGAAATATTCCACATTACTGCAATTTTGATTTTTGTGTGATGTGTAATTGCACAATTTGTCTTTATTCACTGTGTTCAGCATATGTTAGAATTCAGCAAATAAACAGTAATTGTGTACGTCCAGGCAACCTGCTAGGCCTCCTCTGGCTGGAGAGCCAGGACCAAGTAATTAGGGCAGAGCAGTTGCAGCTGTGGGCACCCTATTTAAGGAGTGCTCGCTGCTCTGTCTTGAGTTTACTTTGCCACTTGCATATCACTCTGCCTCAACAATGGCAGCCTTTAACCCTACATAGACTATAGATGACTTAATAAAATCACAGTCAAGGATCACTACCAGCTGCCTCTGATGACCTCGGCCTTTGAGGCACTGCAGCAGGCATCCATCTTTACTAAGTTAGACGTGTGCAGTGCCTATAATCTAATTTGGGTTTGCCAGGGAGACGAGTGGAAGACAGCATTCGTCACACCCTCTGGCCATTACAAGTACCTCGTAATGCGATTCAGGTAGATGAATGCTTCAGCTGTCTTCCAATGTTTCATAAATTGGGTCCATCGGGAGGCCCTTGACCACATCCTTATCTACATTCATTCTGTAGATTAACATGTAGTTCACATTTGCCGGGTACTCCGGCTTTTACTGTAGAAGCACCTCTAAAACTGGAGAAGTCCATCTTCTATGCACGGTTGGTCACTTTTCTCGGGTTCGTTGTGTCCAAGAACCGGGTAAGCATGGACCCGGTAAAGATTCAGTTTGTTCTTTCTTACAGACCAGGCTTCAAGAACATCAAGCTCAATGTGCTCTGCAGGCAGTGGCCTACACCACCTGCCAATCCCTCTCCAGAGCCAATCATTCTGGAGGCCCGAATCATCGCCCCTGTGCGCTGGGGGCTGGAAACAGCCAACCAGGACGCACTTTGGGCTGAACCAGACCCTGGGGGTGGGCCCCCGTTTAAACAATACGAGACCTCTTCAGTTAAAGCCCAGTCTCTCCAGTGAGGTCATTCTTCCCCTTTTGCGGGTCACCCAGGGAAGACCTGCACCCTGGAGTTATTAAAGAGATGTTTCTGGTGGCCTAACATGAAGAGAGACGTGCACAGTTGTGTTGCAGCCTGCCAAATGTGTACGCAGAACAAGGAGCCCAGGACCCCACCAGCAGGCTTGCTCCAGCCACTACCCCTACCTTCATGGCCATGGGCAGGTATTTCCATAGATTTTATCACTGGGCTACCAGTGCCCCAGGTGACCTTATCTGAGGCAAGCAAGACCTGCAGCTCCTTAAATTTTCATCTGGGCTCTTTTGTGACTCCCTGAATGAGTCATTGCGGGAGGAATCTTCTCCATTTGGAGATAACGGCTCTCACTGTGGTGTACTGGAGGCCCAGAAGCTTAGAAATGGCTTTGTAACTCTTTCCAGATGTGTAATACATGTGTGTAGCTTTTTTTTTATCTCTTTTCGAGTGTCTTTTGATTGCGACATAGTGTTCTAGTTGTTGAAACCTTTTGGTCTAATTCACATTGATGAAAAGGTTCTATAGGCTGGCAGTAATTGTGTGTCCTACAAAGTGTGTGTCCAGTTTACTTGATTCCAGTTATCAACACAATTTGGTCAGATGGTTGACTAGTAACTAAAGGTGCATTTACGTTTTCACACAGTTTCAGTTTCACAAATGACATATGACTGTGCTGATGTCTCTCAGGTCTCTGTAGTGCAGCCTCAGCTCTCTCTCGGCAATATTACTTTCTGAATGAGAGTAAGACTTGGTTGGAGGCTCAGAGCTACTGCAGAGAAAACTACACCGACCTGGCTACTGTAGACAACATGGAGGAGATGAAGCAGCTGATGGCGACAGTGGATCCTAAGTACAGTGGTGCTCTGTGGATAGGACTGAACAAGGCCCCTCCAAGACGCTGGGGCTGGTCTTCAGGAGAGATCTCACAATACATGAATTGGAGAAGTCCAGAACCAGACAATGGAGACATAGATGGACTTTGTGCAGCAAAATATGAGTTTAGTGGATGGATTGATGCTGATTGCACATATCCTTGGGAGTTTGTTTGCTACAGCAGTGAGTTACTATATTTAAATAACAATAATTAAAATATAATTAAAATAAAAATGCCAATAAAAAGCTAATGAATTTTGTTTTACAGTTTAATGTTAGTGTTTATGTGTGACTGTTAGAATGAGGGATATCAATGTCTACAAAGCAAAGATGACCATTTTTATTTGTTCTCTAATCAACTAGTAAAGCTATATGCAATGTTTTCCAGACGTAACCACAAGATACTAATTTACACAAAAAAACCCATTCAGAACTTCATTGTAAAACAAAGACACAATATTTTATTTGTGTCCAAAATTGATTATCTCAAATCTTTTAGTCTCACAGAGTCAGACATAATTTCATACAGAGAATACACATCTGAGGACCATCTGTTAAACATTGGTGCAGGATTGCAGCAAAATTCACTGCAAATAATGGTACCCCCCCTTTAGAACTCACCCCCTTGTCAGTTTAGTCCATGCTCTTTTAACGTCCAAAGTAAAACTGATATCATAAGCGAAACAAGCTGGCTGGTGTAATGCTGTCATTAGCACAGATTCATTCTTCAAGACAGCTGTTTTAAAAACGCACTTCAATTTTTGTCAGAGATGCCCAAAATTGATTCAGTGGAACCGCTTTTGAAGACATTAACTCAGGAAAAAAGATGTCCTGGCTTGTTTTCCAACTAAATATGGTTGATTGGTTTAGTCTCCCAAGGCTGGCCTAGCTTTGAATAAATTCACACCATTTCTCAGTGGTGAATACATGTATTTATGCACTATTATTATTGTGGCAGATAATGTGTGTCCTTTGTGTGTGGATAGTGTGTGTGAATTGGTTTAGAAATTTCACTATGTGTTTTTAGCCCAAATATTCTCATGGTTGTCCCCAGATGTGTATTCTCAATAGAAAATCACATCTGGCCCTGCAAGACTATGTGTCTTCTTGTGCAAGATGTGCAGTCCTGCCAGATTAGGTAGTTTCCCATGAATTGGACAGATTTTGCTGGGATAGGCTGGGGAAGTGGTCTTGCCATGCCCACTGACGCCATTTACAATCTTAAAGGAAAGACTTAAATTATACTTAATTTATGCGGCACTACTGACTGTACAGGGTTCTGTCATAGTTGGAATCAGAGTAGCCTGTGATCATTACAGCATGGCCCATTATGATAAGCAAGTTATAAAGATGTGTGAGTAATAATTATGCTTCTTTCTGTGTGTGTGTTGTGTGTGTGTGTGTGTGTGTGTGTGTGTGTGTGTGTGTCTGTGTGTGTGTGCGTGTAGAACCCATTAAACAATTTATCCATGTTAGCAAACGAGACAGTTGGAGAAATGCTCAGGATTATTGCCGAAAGTACTACACTGACCTGGCCACCATTCACAATGAAGAGGAACATCAGAACATTTCAGATCTTCTGGGCAGTGTAGAATACGCATGGATCGGCCTCTTCTTCGACAACTGGAAATGGTCTGACCGACGAAGCTCCTCATTCCGCTACTGGAAGGCAGGACAACCCTGGAGCCCAACAGACAACGCAAACTGTGCCGTCACGATGACTACATGGAACGGACAATGGGATGACACACTGTGTGACGTACAGCTACCTTTCATGTGTTATAAAGGTCAGTTTGACACTTATTCATCCATGGAGACAGTGACCAGCAAAATCAGCCGATAGATTTATCAACATTGAAAACGTCGTTGCAATGCAGATGCAAACAAACACAACACATTTATATTTAACGGTTAACAGTCAGCACTGATTTTATTCATTATCATGGTGGACCATCAGTTGCAGTGCATTTAAAGGGGCATTCTTACCTAATACTAGCATTTAAAATGCTATTTGTAATGTTATGTAATATTCTGTAGCTCAACACTGCACCATTCTGACTCATCAGCTTGACACAATTCATAATTTGTTAGCATTTTTGTGTTTTTCCTCAGTGGACATTAATTATTGTACTTTAGCATCTCTTCTATTTCTCCAGCACTGAGACAGCGCATAGTAAAACTGACAATGACCTCTAATGGGGAGAAGGATCTGAATGACCCTGCTATGAAGACAGCCATTCTCAGTCTGGTCAGTGAAATCTGTGATGACATTTACTAACAGCCCTCTTATCTGTGTCTGCACACTGATATATAAGGGTGCATCTGTATTTTGCAGTTCACCATTAGCATCCAGGTGAAGGCTGTTCTCTACGGGAAAAATGAATGTCATTTTTGAAAATGGTCTCCATAGTTAACCAAAGAACATTAGTTTTTGCATTGAACTGACATCATTAAGCCGCAGTCACACTAGACTTTAGGTGTTGCCACATGGGTAAGACCGAGACAATTATCAAAGATTAGCAATGGAAAAAAAATCCTTTATGACAGTTGCTAACTTGACAACCATAAACAGTAAAAACACAAAAGCATACATAATGACATCCAAAAACTGTATACTAGACACTGCTTAGTGCTGCACACTGATAGTATAAATAACTGGTGAGATTGGTGGCAGTATGTTGACTTGTGTGTAGCTGCAGTTATCCCTGGAGCTAACATCACAGATAACAAGCTGGCTAACTCATCTAACCAAACTGTACAACCAGAACAATGAAGATAAAATTGTGCTTAGACAGTAGCTAAATCCGTGTTTCCTCCATTTTGGAGATTCAGGTGCTATGCCAACCCAGCCAGAGCAGTAGTGGTATTGGTAGAGGATGCAACATAGCTTGTCATTGTTCACCAAAGCTGGGATGATATACTATGTGATGCAAAGCTACATTTCATGTGTAATAAAGATTAGTTTGACAAATATATTCTTTCATATTGACAATGTATGGAGTCAGTTCCAGTAAAAGCAACCCTAGACTTAACTCACAAAAAGAAGAGAATTGAATTACTTGAAAAATCAACATTGACGTCTTTGTTAAACACCTAATTTGTCCCAGTAGTCATTTGATTTTTCAGCAAAAGTCACATTTGTCGTTGCAATGCAGAAAAAAAGCACTACACATTTCACAGTACATGTCCACTTGCAACTTCACCTCACTGCACCTAACAATTGCTGCATGGTGAAAAAGTTTTAACTTAATACAAAGGAAGAAACCCACTACATTGCATATTGCCAATCAGGTAGCAGCAGGTCATCACTACGAATGGCAAATAATAATAATAAAAAAAACTTTCTCTAAAGGTAGAGAGGGGAAACACAGTCACTCTTTCTCTTCTCTGAGTCCATGACAGTTTAGCCTAATAAAAACATCTGATTTTATACAGAACTGTTGAGAATTTGGTTACTAGTTTAGATGAAGTTTACATAGTTTGAGCAAGAAGGCAAAATTT